TGTTTACTGAACCTGCTCCCACTCAGTCAGTCCCTGTTTACTGAGCCTCATCCCACTCAGTCAGTCCCTGTTTACTGAGCCTCATCCCACTCAGTTGTTTTCCTCATAAGTGTTTACTGAGCCTGTTCCCACTCATTCACCCCATAAGTATTGACTGAACCTGGTCCTTCTCATTCGTTCCATGAAGTGTTTACTGCGCCTTCTCCCACTCAGTTGTTCTTCCCGTAAGTGTTTACTGAGTCCGCTCAGAGGAATGAGGTCCATGAAGACCCTCAGTTGCCAGCTTACACATAGAGCCACACAGGGTCTTAAACAAGGGGCTCCCAAGCAGATGTGTGCTTGAAAAGACCCCTCCACTGTGGTGCAGAGAGAGATGGGGAGGGAGGTGCTTTCTAGAGAGAGGACTTGTGATTTGCCCCTCCCATTTCTGCGTCTTCCACATGTGGGATGTAACAGAGCCCCTCTTGCTCAGGAGCAGGGGGTCCGGCAGCACTGACCGTCCATACACGGGTCTGCACTGAGTCTGAACAGGCTCAGCAGGATAGGGTGAGGAGCCAGGGCCACGCTGCTCCAGACTTGATGGGAGAGTGGGCCTCGGGGTTAGGGCAGGAGGCAGCCAGGAGAGCTAGGGGCTTCAGGAGGGGCGCATGCTGAGCCCCTCAGAAATAGGTGTGGCTGGGTGGGTTCAGGTGAACCCCACATAAAAGTTCTTTGAGAGGTAGCCTGGTGGGGATGTTGGCAGAGGACAGGGGCTGAGGAGCAAAGGGCAGGCCTATGGCCGCAGCGGGAGGGGGACCAAGAGGGGCTTCATACAGGAATGCAAGACAGGTGCACCCAGGTGCGGCGAGGGGGGCTCTTGCTTCTTCTTGGGAGAGCAGACAGCCTCCACACCTCTGCACTGAGCAGCAGGAACCTGGCCGGTTGTCAGCCGGGAGAGGGAGGCTGCTCCTGGCAGATGAAGAGGCACCCTCATTATAAGCTGCCCCAGGCACACAGGCAGGCAGGTGACGGCTGTCAGTTCAGGAGAGCCAGCTCTCCCCGTCTGCTCCACAGAAATAGCCCGCGTTCCTTGTGTGAATAATTGCGTGGCTGCCGTTCTGGCGAGGCGGGGTGGCGCTGGGAGAAACATTCAGTCTAGGCCGGCCCTGCATAGAACTTTCTGGAAGCGTCCTTCCTGTGCGCGTGCGGTGCAGCGTGGCTGGCGTTTCACTTTTCGGACTTACTCTCGAGAGGGTCGCTCTGGGTCAGAAGCCACTTGATGACCCCTGACAGCACAGGATCAGGGAGCGGCGGGGCCGCACTGGACACCATGGTCTGCCATGGTCACAGACACGCGCAGCCCCCCGAGGAGGGTGACACGGCCCCATCCCCGACCCTACTTGGAGAAGCGGGATGTGACCCCGCGGCCTGGCTGGCTGGGAAGCCTGCACTTTCAGGGACCCCTCCTGCTGCCCAGGGAGGGCACAGCTGCCATCTCCTCCAGCCGGTGTGCGGTGGAACCTGGGTGCCCCCCTTCCTTGCCAACCGAGGTGAATGCCACGGCTCCCTTGAGGGGGCTCAGCTGCCCCTGCTGTGGGGCAGCTCCGGGCCTGGGGAGGAGGGGATGCCCGAGGGGGTCTGGCTGTGGGCTCCATGTCCGCTGTGTGGCCATCTCTGTTCAGCCCTGGAGCCCCGAGAGCCCCTGCTTCCAGGTGGGAGCCCTCGGGGTGCTGGGTGGGTGTCACGTAGGATGCTGGCAGGGTGACCACTCTGGGGCACCTCCCCGTGTGGGGGGAGACTCAGCTCCGAGGGGTGGGACAAGGCTCTTCTTCTCTGCAGTGTGGGTGCAGGGCACCTCTGCAGAGGGGCCGCTGGGCAGTCAGAGCGTTCTCTGTCACCCAGGTACATAGCATCCTCTGTGCCGGAGGCTCCTGGCCCACAGTGAGTGGACAAGCACTCCCAGCTTGGGAGGTGCTAGGAGGGGAGGCATATCAGAACGGGGGGCCCCAGCCAGGTTGGGAGTCAGGGCAGGCTTCTCAGAGGAGGTGGTGGCTGGGCCAAGAGCTGAAGGATGACAAGCCGTTATGTGGAGCAGAGGGAGGGGTGGGCTGTGAATAGCCAGGAGGGTGCACTATGGAGATGGGGGACCGGCGGGAACCGGGGTGCTGAGCCTTGGCCCCAGCTCAGCCCCTCGTGGTCTGTGTGACCTGGGAGGGGTGGGTGGGTTAGAGAGTCTGTACCGCAGACCCAGGTTCAGTTCCGGGCCAATGCACCCCATGTACAGCCGCCTGCCCGTTGGTCAGTGGAGGCGGCGACTGCTTGTCGCCGATGCGGAACTGACAAAGGGGGTCTAGGAGGAAAGTCCTGGTGAGATATTTCCGGAAATCAGCCCATGACATCCCTGTGGCCCCGACAGCCAGCGCCTGGTCTGCACACCGGGTGGTGCAGGACCGCGTACCGTGCCAGTCCGTCAGGTGTGGCGTGGTCTCCAGGTGAAGGGTGGGGGCTGGCTGTGCAGCCTGTCCACCTGGGGGCGCTCAGAGAGACAGGGAGGGGGTCTGTGTGCTGACAGCCAGACTGGCCCCTCCACATCCTCGCAGACTGTCTTGGGGGGGTGTTTGACAGTTAAGAGCGCGTCTGGTGTCCGGCTGTTTAGGAGGACGCGTTCACGCACTGCCCCTGCTGTGGCCCCAGTGCTGTCCCGGCCAGGGCCCTGCACCCAGGGCTGTTTGCTGACTGACTCTGTCCTCCCTGCAGCCGGACTGTCCTCCAGGAGGTGCTGGACACTGACCTGAGCAACGAGGCCTTTCCCTTCTCTACCCACAAGCTGGTGCGGGCTGCCGGCCACCTGGTAAGTACAGGTTATATTAGGTTTAGGCATTAGGCCGCTTTCTGCAAGGTCAGTGGTTCAAGTCAACCCGATTCCCCGGGGGAGAGAGAGGAGGCTGTCGGCTCAGGGGGAGTCACACCCTTGCACCCAGGTGAGCAGCTTTGCCCTGTCTATAGCTCTCCACCAGCCAGAGCTGACGGATGGAAGTGGGTTTGGGTGGGAGGGGGGTCAGGGCGTCTAACAGCATCTCTAAAGGCCCTGATAGCAGAGTGGTGTAAGCATTGGGCTCCTCGGCTAGAGGTCGGCAGTTCAAACCCATGAGCTGCTCAATGGGAGAAAGATGAGGCTTTCTGCTGCCATAGAGATCTCTAGTCTCAGAAACTGCGTGGGGGCAATTTTACTCAGTCCTGCAGGTTCGCTGCGGGTGGAAATGAGTGCGAGGGCACGGGGCTCATGACCCTGGCCTTTGTCCGCCTGAGACCAAATCACCCTTCATTGGGACCGCCCTGAATGTCCCCAGATGTGGTCAGTTGTCGCCCAGGGAAGCGGGATTGCCCTGTCCCAGCAGTGTCACCGACTGTCCGCAATTGTGTCAGACACGGGGCAGGGTCAGCAGCCCAGGTAGGTGGGGGTGGACACCTGCGGCAGGTGAAGAACCCAGGGGCTGTGGAGACATCACCAGCACCACTCATCCCTTCCTCAGGTGCACGGGGGGCTGCAGGAGGGTGGGCTGGCAGGCAGCTGGATCCGGAGCCCCCCGGCCCAGCACCCCGCCCCACATCCCCATACTGCTAGTCTGTGTGCTCTCCAGGGTTTGCGGTGGGGATGGGCCCAGGCCCAAGGACTTTGGCTGCAGGGACTGCGGACCAACGGCCAACTCTGGGTCCAGTTAGTAACTAAGCCAGGCTGTGAGGCCGGGGAGGGAGGCCCAGAGGAGCCAAGATAGCGCTCGGCCCTCTCCTTCTCCGGAGGCCGCAGGGGGCAGGAAGCTGGGGAGTCGCTGTCTCGCTTGCTTCCTGCCTCCCTTCGGCAGAGCTGCCTGCTGGGACCAGAGAGGGTGGGCACGCCTGAGAGCAGCCCAGTCCACCTGGCCCCGGGCTGCAGCTGGGACCCATCCCGCCGAGGGCCTGGCAGTGACTGATGAAGGTGCAGGCTGAGCGTGACGGGTGTCCGTGAGGGCCAGAGGCGAGGTGTAAGACCCTCCACTCCTCCAGTCTTGCTCCCCTCCAGCCCCCTGGGCCCCTCTCCCTGCCTGGCCACAACCCAGCAGGGGTCTCTGCAGAGCGGACTTAGTCCAGGCAGGAGGCTATTGTTGGTAAAACACCAAGCATTTGATGGTTTTTAAACCTATCCTGCTGGCGGGTTCTTGTTTCTGCGACAACTGTGGACGGTCTGCCCATCGATGGGGCCTGGGCCTGGTCCTCACCGGCTCCTGGTCAAAGGGGTGCATAACCCTCCGGCCCCTGGCCCCCAAGCTCCCAGCAGTTCCCCGTCTTGTCTCCCTCCTGTGCAGGCCTCTCCCTACATCTGCTCGGGCAGGGGGCCCTCTCCCCACATCCGCTCGGGCAGGGTGGCCTCTGCAGCCTCAGGTCACTGCTGACCATGCCTGGACTAGCCTCTTCTCTGTCCTATTTGCTGCTCTGAGGACCTGCTGCTTCTAACCATGAGTGTCCCTGTCCAGCGGCCTAAGGGCTCAAGCCAGGGTCTGATGGGAGCTCAGCGAGACGCCTCTGGGCTCCTGGGCTTCCCTCTGAGCCCGTGCAGCCTCCAGGCTCCGTTTTCTCTGGAATAGCTTCTTGCGCTGGCTGAGGACACTGCTGACAGGGCCGCAGTGCACTGGGCGGACGGGCAGGGTCTTAGAGGGACCAGCGGTGCCAGACCGGCCAGAGGCAGGAGGAAGGCAGGTTCTGCGGCCAGGGCCCTTGGTTAGGGCTGCCTGGATGACCAGGCCACCAGGAGCCACAGACCCCGAGGTCAGACCATGCAGGTGAGAAACCCGTGCCCAGAGTGGCCTGCCCTCTGGCAGAGACTGACGGGGGCCACCGCTGAGAGCCGTCATGGTTTTGCAATGGCTTTTCTCTGAGAGGCTGCATGCGCCCCAGCTGTCTAAGAGCCCTGGACTCCAGGAGGAAGAGGCCAGGGGTAGAAGTTTACTGCCCATGGGAAGCCAGCTGGCCAGCTGCCCTTGCTTCCTGAATACTTGCCTCGTGTCCAGCCAGCTTCCCTCTGGGAAGTTCCAGCTGACTCCGAGGACAGACCCCTCCCTACGGTCCCCCCACCAGGCATCGGACACCAGCTGGGAGCGCATCACCCAACGGACAACAAGGACATTTTCTTCTGAAAATTAATTTCAGGTCAAAAGGAAATTGGATTTCGTTTCCTGATGGTGCAAAGGCTCGAACGTGGTACATTTAGGATTCAATTCATTCAGGAGGGAACAGTGCCCACCCCTCTGTGTGCCCCATTTCGGTCCGGGCCTCGTTGGGGTCTGGGGGTGGTGAGTTTCCACCAAGGGAACCTCAGGGATGCGGACTCTTACGCCTTCTGTTCCTTCCACCTGCTGGGCCGGATCCAGGGCATGCTGACCTCCCACTGTGACGCCCCCGCACTCTTGTCTGCAGAGGGTGGGTGGGCACAGATGGCGTCTCTCCGAGACCCAAGGGCTGAGCAGAATTCTGAGCAGACGTCACCTCCACCACCACACCACCACCACCACCACCACCACCACCACCACCTCCACCTCCACCTCCACCACCACCACCACTGCCATCGGAGCACACCCATGGAAGGTCATTCAGCAAGAACAGTGCCACAGCACTTCTTCCCTCGGGAGTCTGCAGAACTGCAAAGCTGGCACTTACAGTGGGCTCCATCCCTCTCGTGCTTGTTGGCCAGGGGTGGGCTGAGGAGGTCATCATTCTAATGACCAGCCAGTGAGGAGAAATGATGAGCCCACAGCAAACGAGAGCCGGGAGAGCCTTGTCGTGCCTTTGACTCAGTTCTGACTCAGCGCCCACGGGACCGACTGGACCCACTCCATGGAGCTTCCTGTGCTGTGTTCTTCCTGGGAGCCGGTGGTCAGGTCTTTTCTCCACAGAGCTGCTGATGGATTTGAACGGCTGACCTTTGATTTAGAAGCCATGTGTCTGACATTGTACCAGCAGGCTCTGGGGAGGCCCTGC